TGAATGATTCGTGCACACTCTGATGATTCAATGAATGCACACTCTGAATGATTCATTAATGATAATGAGCATTCACAATCACCCGAAAATGCTTGAAAATAGTACCAGTAAGTGTTGGGTGAGATTGGTGCGAGGCTGCAAGTGCCTCTGTGAACGTGGGTGTGACATCTCAAGAATTCATCAGGAAAGAGCTTATTTAGATAAAAAGTTAAGAAACTTTCCATGAATTTGTTCCAAATGGTTTGCATGGGTGACTTTGGCTTCATAGTACCTGCTAAGCAGCTTGTGAGTATCATGAACCCACCACCCAAGTTATGTCCAGTTCAACAGATAACTTTGCCTACAACCTTTCACCAGACAGGAATGTAATGGCTTGAGGGTGTACCCGATTTACATGCTGTGCAATGCTGCAACACTGCTGCCAGCCCCAGCCTAGGCATTGGCCAGTTGCAAGCTGACCTTTCTATTTCAGTGGGGTTATACAATGCAAGTACTCTGGGACTCATATGCAGTGTCACTGGATTACAAGTCCAGCATCTTTCCCCTGGACCATGGAAGCAACAAACTTGTTAAAAGATAAGTTGTCTGGTCCAACAATATAGGAAGGAGGTGAAAAACTTATTGTAGGGTAATTTATCAGGTTGAGAGGTCCACAATATAGCAAGATGTTTGTTACAACCACAAAGTATGAAACATTGTCCTTTTAAGTGTTACATAGGTACCTTCCAGAAATGACAAGCAATGCTTTGCAGTTCATTAAAAATGTATATGCATGTCATACATGCCAATACAATGCCTACCACAACACCTCATCTTAAGTCTCCTGTGGTAAGTAATTATATGTAAGCAGGAACCTTATCTACCTACAACAAACAGCTGATTGAGCATGCTTAAAGGTGTGAGCATTATGACTGAATGTCATGTGCATTAAAGTCCATAAAATGACAGCTTATTGCAGTTATATACCATGCTTGAGAAGAGCTCCAGTTTTTATAACATGTCTTGTTTATGGCACACAGCACCACCACACATTACTCAATCCCCAAAAGTGGCCACCGCTGCACCATGACACCCAATATAATATAACTGGCTATCTCGTTATTTGGAATAGGATCTCTTTAGTCAGTCATGGTCACTTCAGGGCCATGGGACAAATGGGAGGCGTCGTTCAACGGCTCACAAATCCTCATGCAGAGCACCCGTAAAAGGAACCTCTGATATAACACACAACATAGATGCCGAACCGGTGCAAGGCGGCCAGTGTATCTATTGCGCCACAAACCACTTGTAGGTTGTATATTTTTATTACTTTTCAGAGAATTCCTTCTCACCTTTTACATGGTGTACAGCAACATAGCTGTTATTTAGCTCGCTTATGATCACATTATGGAAGTAAAGATATAATTAAGTGAATATGAAATTATTCTTGCGTGTCTATGGGATAAATGTTTCGAAAGCTCGACCACATGGAGAAAGGAAACCAACCAGGCAACCAACCATATACCTTTCGGAGTTACATATGGCTGCATTTAGCATGCTGATGACAGCACAGATTCCCCAAAAACTACACGTCGAACGGTATCTGCCAACTATAGCAGACCAATTTAATCAATATCGTCAGATAATTTATAATTTTTACAACTAAAAACTCATTATACTGGACTGTTTTGGCTTAAACATCATGATCTAAATGTGTATGAACCTGTATATCGCCATGATAATTCGTTATTGATTGGTGCTTTATCAAAGCATTCCAGTTGTGCTTTCTGCTTAGGCGTGTTAGCGTCGCTGTTTCAGGTATGGGGTGCCGGGGCGGTAATGGTGGTCGGACGCGTATGAAAATGGGGTGTTGATTTGTTGCGATGCATGTTATGATTTCAAAAGTTTTATTCCTGCTTTCCCGGCCGCATCCGCGGCCTTGGCAATCATAGGTGGGCAAATGTGAGCCGGGCTCATTGTTCCCTAAGACCTATGTTCTCACCTTTTTCACTCTTCTCCTCGGAATTTTGATTGCCTGCCTCGATAGCAGATACATTAAGTAAGACACATGTGTGACATTATCAAAATAGATGCATTGTGTTTCTCATTTTTGGTCATTATGGCGACCCCTTCACTCCCACAGCCCCAACCAACTTTACTGATTACGTACTGGGTACGCTGGGCGAACGCGCAACCCCCCCCCCCCCCCTCATTACGCTATGCTAAATATAATGTCCCTGGGGGTTAACGTCCATTGCAACCAATTTTGAGCTAGAGTTACAAAAGAAAGGCCGGCGTGTTGCTTGTTATGAGGGGAAACCGACAGCATCTGGCTTAAAGGCTCTAATGCATTGAAAAAGACATTAGCGTAGTTTGCAGCCTTACATGCGCATAAGTCAAGCTCCCCACCCCTCTCCCTTTTTCGCTTCTGTTACGCTCCGTCGAGACTTCCAGGTCCTCACCCCTCCCATGCATAACAATATATGGGCGCCCCCACATCTACCAGAGATAATTTGACATGCCTCAGTGAGCTGGATTCCCATATACCTTTTGATATTGACAGAATAAGAATACCAGGATGTAAAGACGTTCATGATTTTGTGTTCGATTGAAAATTGCACTGCAGATGATTTTCGTGATTAACGTTGAGCTCAGCACGTACAATGGACATATTTGGCGGGAGGGCTTCATCTTGCAGTATAATGCCAGCACGGCTAGCATTAGGCCTGACTCTTGGTTTGTTGCCATATGACCGTAATGGACAAGGCACGAACGGGTGTCTGGGAGTGGTATTTACGTCCCAGCCACGTACCGGCCAGATTATTCGGTGCTTTACCAACTCGGCTACGGGAATCGGTCTCCATTGGCCGTGAATTGACTAAATAAGAAGTTACTGGCTTTGGTTATGTCCCGTAGGCGTGAACAAAGCCTTATCAATGTATCGTGTGAATGTGGTGGGAAGACGATATCACTCAAAGCATACTGGCTCGTAATATTTTCACTGATCTGTTGCGCCACGATCCAGTCTACGATGCATGTACCTGTCAGATGTGGGGAATTAGCCCACTTTTTTCTTCCGGTTAAGTTAATCCGCTGACAGAAGGTGAACTTAGATTGAGCTAACCGATTACTTCGCGAAGTTAGTTAGCGGAAGCTTAAGTTAATCCGTTGATTTATTATCGTAAAATTGCTTTCCATCACCTGATGTATGTATTTTAGAATAGGCCCCTCCAACAGGTGGAAATGGTTGAGCTACATCGCTGCCACTCATCGACGTATTCCAATTCCTGTACTAAGCTAACTGTGTGTGCATTTCGCAAGTTTCAGGTTCGAAATCCGAAAAGGCTTCAGTAAAATCGAATATATTCGAATATTTCTACCGGAGCCTCGAGACTTTAGTGTCGTAAAATTGCTTCTATACCAATTGCATCGTTTTCCGGGTAACTGCACAACGCTTTTGCTAATGGTATATGCCACATTTTTAGCTCGCCCACAATAATATTAGCTATTGGCGCCAGCCTTAGTGGGTGCTGGAGTTTTGTTTTTTGTGAGGCTTGTGCCGCGTCATAAGCTTCCATGTGCAATATGTAAGTGTTTCGACTTTGCCGGTGCTTTTATGCATACGGCACCCTCCTGCAGTGCTCGGTCTATCGGCCATCGTTGCGCTCTTCAAGTGCTAATGTCGATGTATCCATCTGAACCGAGCGTTTCTTCAACCAACGGGAAAATGGAAGACTCTGGGTTGCTAGAGAGTCCATCGTCTGCTCTCCTGGGAAAAGGACGTCCTCAGAAAGGTGTGTCAGCGTCCAAACGCGTGTGCGGTATCACACATTGCTGTATCATGCACATCACACACCTTGCGTCTCGCAAAATGCATCATCACACGATCCACGTTAAATGCTCAGGTGTGCACGTATCATCACCACCGTTTGGACCCATCCATATGTTGCTCAAGCGCACGGGGCTAACCGCCAGTATATGGCCGAGCGGCTGTAGCTCACGGAAGCTTCGGGTGTCGCGGTTATTTTCAAACACCGCGATGAGCTGAAAACGTCAGCCGTCTCTCAGAGTTCGCCCCGTGCCGACAGCTGTCACCGCCGTCACGGACGTACCAGACAAAGAGGGCTTTTGCATCCGGTTGGCCACGCCGGCCCAGTCACGGCGAGGATCTGAGCACACGCTCGAAGCGGATAAATGTTTGCAGAGCCCGAAGGAAAATTGTATGGAATGTTGGCAGTCAACAACGCGATTCAAACAACCACATTGTTTGCCCAATCGATCTCAGTTCGTTTCGTCCTTGGAGTGTGACACTAACATTAGTCAACACTGGTTTATGAACAGTGGTCTTTTCGTCGATTCTGTTGAATGGTAGTGGTTCTGAACGTTCCACAGAGGATTTGCAGCGATCCTGCAAATGCGTGACGTGTTCTGAACGCGGCCTCTGTAAAAAAAGAGACGACCTGGTGAGCCGGGGCGAACGCAAGGAGGGAGAGCAGAAGTGTTAAAGCGAAGTGCCTCTTGCGGTATTTCGATGTTAGATGCTCGGCGTTACTGATTGGTGGCAATTGAATCATACCTGTCAGGTCGCTGCTGGCGACCTGCCAGGTCACCTGACCCGAGTCTCGTCCGGCCTGACCCGAGCCGTGTCCGGCCTGACTCGAGCCCCTTCCGACCTGACCCGAACCGTGTCTGACCTGACCCGACCTCACCCGGTCTGACCCGAGCCGTGTCCGGCCTGACCCGACCTCGCCCGGCCAACAGCGCCTGAGCTCAGCCTGGTCGAGCGTCGCAACTGGATGATCCACATCCACTACGTGCGCAAGGAGTTCGACACGTGCCGCGCGCTCGTCAAGGAGCAGCTGCAGGAGACGGGCGACATGTGCGAGTACGCCAGCTATGTGCAGGTGAGAGGGCGGCCTGACCGACCGTCGGCGTCGCATGGACCCGGGCAGGATGCGGCGAACTCACCGCTTCAGTCCAGTCAAGTCAGACGTAGCGACGCTGAAAGATTGCGTGCTGCCATGGGTGAGGACCATGGGTATTGTGCAGCACTATCGGTGCTGTTCTCAGTGAATGATTGCGAGCTGCTTCAGCGCATCCCTGCACTAGTGCTGCGCCACCAAACGCCAGCTGTTCCTGGAGGCGCTGCTTTCATATGTTAAGCGTTGCGTGCCTGTCATTTGGCCGGCGGTATAGCTTGATTGGCAGGTGGCGCTGCGGTCCGTGGGGTCGATGGGACTGACCTGGCGTGACGCTGTCGGGACGGGCCGGGGTCGCGGCCTGACACGGTCCGCCCCGGGTGACCCGCCGGCACCGGCTGCCGCAGGGCCTGATCCTGCGCTCCGAGGGCAAGATCCAGCAGTCGTTCGAGATGTTTCAGCAGTGTCGGGAGCTCAACCCGCAGAATGTGGACAACCTACGCCAGATGGCGCGCTCCCTGTGAGTACCCCGGCAGATGGGCTGGGCAGAACGCCGGCGGCCTCGTGGTCCCGGAGACGACCGTGAGCGTGTTTGGTACGTAATGGTAAGGGCGCTTTGCGAAGGAAATGCTGCCTGTAGGTGTGGATCCAGTCGCGAAGAGCGTCCTGTTGATGCGGCGACAGCCGAAGATCGTTTGCTTGTGCCTTGACAGCAGCCTGAACTGGTAACGTAGAATTGATCATAGCTGCGTTATCTGTGCTGCAAGCACCAGTCTGCCTGCCGTGGTAAAAACTTCCCACCCGAAGCCCCGGGTTGACGCCAGGAACGGTCCTGTGGTCCTGTGGCTAAGTCTGGTCGCTACAGGCATGACAGCTCTCTCTGCTCTCCAGCGGCGGATAGCGAGTGTCATCTAGCAAAGAGGCGTCCGGGAGTGACGCCGAAGCCGAGATATTCTACAATTGCTCACTTACGTGCGCGTCGGCAATTGTTTTTTATTTGAATTGTAAGGCATTTGCATGCATCGCGTTGTGTTGGACCAGACGGGGATCCACTGGACACAGGATCCTTTGTGTCAATCACAACTGGTGGACTGGTGGAAATGATTTGACTAGCTTTGCGTGAGGATCACCGGCGTTGGCCGAGTTGACCGAGCGTTGTTGTTGACCGAGCGTCTGGTATAAGCGGAGGGTCGTGTGCCGTCCTGCCTCGGCCCAGCACGCTCTCCTGTCGGCGACCTCATATGGCGCCCGCCGGCGGCGGCGCGTGCGTGACCGGAGCATTGTGTCGGAGGGGTCGAGGGCCGCCATCCGGCCGTCTGACGACAAAAGCGACCGGCGAGGTCGCTGACATCGTCTCGCTGCGATCAGCAGCATCAGGGGCGATGACACTGGAGAGAGGGGCAGTCATGGGCGGCTCTGTGGGCAGGTTCCTCCTGGGCAAGTTCGACATGGCGCTGGCCGCCTACAGCCAGGCGGAGAAGGAGTCTAGCAAGACGCCCGACTGGGAAATCTTCTACAACAAAGGTGCGCCTGTATCCGTACGCTCTCAGCCGCTCGGGTCTGCCGCGGCTGTTTGTGTGGCATCTGGTGGCGGCAGGATAAAGCATGATCTCATCATTAGGGCGCGTCACGTTCTTGGTCAGCGGTGCCGGCAGGCCGCGGAGCAGTGTGCGTTAACACAGACGTGTTGAAGCATCGCATTGTCGCGTCCGTCCACCCAGCTCTGGAGAAGTGCCCCGAGCTGTGTGGGCCGGGTGTAGCGAGAGCGGCAGTGGCGCCCCCCCCCCCCCCCCCGCCGGCCTCGCCGCCGACGCCGCCGGACGCCCGTCTGACCGCAGCTGCCTTTGCCAGGCGTCTGTTACAAGCACCTAAAGAAGTACGGCCCAGCGCGCGAGGCGCTGCAGCGCTCACTCCAGCTGCACGAGCACGAGCGCACCTACGAGCAACTCGGCCAGGTGGCGCTGCTGCAGGAGAACGTGCATGAGGCCATCAGCACCTACCAGCAGGCGATCGAGTGAGCCGGCGCCGCTCTCCCGCGCGGTGCCCTCTGACGAGGCCGGCCGCGGGCTCGGGCCCGACGCACCCCGACGCAGACGTCACTGAGGCCTGAGCAGAGACTGTTCATTAATGTCGCTGCCTCTGGTGGTCACTGGATCCGTGGTACTAGGATTAAATTAGGCCCAACGCCGTATGGTGCATGCTGCACGGTGTTTGGTGGCGTCCATCATTGCACTGCAACCCGATGTAAACTGCAGATGGGCTACGAGTTGTTTAGATCACGCCGTGCAGGGCAGGAACCTTTTTCACTGGCGCTAGGAAGATGCGAGGTCGGCACCCTGTCGCTCCTCGCACTCGTCTCTTTCCTTTCTTTATCTGCAGGTGCTCTTGTGGTCGTCAACAGGGCAGAGCCACGCGCCAACGAACCGATGGGCAGTTTGGGATCTGAGGGGGTCCAGTGGCGTTCATTTTGACCCCTTCATGCTGACCGGTGCCCTTGGAGGGCAGGTCGGAGCCCGCCGTGCCTGCCGTCTGTCTCGGCCGACTGACTGCGGCCGTCGGGGGGCCGGCCGGCCGGCTCAGCTGACCGCCGGATCCACTCGACAGGCAGTTCCCAGAGTCGCCGGACCTGCTCACCACGCTGGGCCTGCTCTTCATGCAGGCCGGCCAGCACCAGAAGGCGTTCGAGCAGCTGGGCACGGCGCTGGCCTACCAGCAAACCAACACCGGCGCCATCCTCGCCGCCGGCAGCATGATGCAGGTGACGGGTGGCGGCCGCCGACGCCCTTCCACGGCTCGCGCGGCTCCCCGCCGGCCCTGCCGGCCGGCCCCTGCCCTGCAGCCACCCGACGACGCGGCGTCACCCGTCACACAGCCGGCGCGAATGGCGTACCCTTGACTGATGACCTGATCACCGCCGTCCGACCGGCCGGTGATGATCACCGCCGGTGACGCGGCCGCCGCCGCTGACGGTGACGCCGGCGGTCTCGCTCGCCACAGGGTCATGGCGAGTATGACGTGGCGCTGAGCAAGTACCGGGTGGCGGCGCAGATCGCTCCCGAGTCGCCGCCGCTCTGGAACAACATCGGCATGTGCTTCTTCGGCAAGAAGAAATACGTGGCGGTGAGAGGTGCCGCCGGCGGGCGCCGGACGCGCGCCGCGCGGCGGACCGGTCGGCGCGCTGGCGGCTGCGGCTGTAGCAGTCAGCCGCGCAGGCTCCTGCGAAGTGGCCGCCGGAGTTGCGATCATCAATTTCTGGACATCGATCGATGTGGACGGGTTTGCTGACGAGGTGTGCGCCAAATGTGGTTCCAGTGAAGGAAAACTTGAAGCCCCGCCGACCATTTGGAATTCCACGTTTGCCAGAACTAAAATGTCTGCTCGAAATGTTTCGATCTAAGGTCGATTTTCCTTAATTTTACTACCCTTATTCCGAATTTGATATTAAAATACAGACCCGCAAAGTTATGGACCGCACGATCCATTGATCACTGATTGTTGCCCGTTTTTGAGCTTTTGCTTCATTGAAAAGCTGCATTGCTACATTGGAAATGATTTGTGGGAAATACTTCACAAGTTCTATCGAAATCAAACCCTCGTCGGCGGCGCAATAGTATCAAAATCGGCCACACTAATACACTTCGATAGGTGTCCGGAAATCGAAGACCACAAATACAAATGTCGAGGAATCACCGCAATGCGCTCACTTGCTGCAAGGCTGTGCAACGAACGGTCATGCACATGCGAACAGTGTTGCACAGTAATCAATGCTGCGTAGTGTACAGTGTGTTCTCTCCGATCTGATCGCCTGCGGCACACTCTCCAGCAGTGAGTAGACTCTGACGCCGAACCCGCCGTATCACGCCAGGCGATCAGCTGTCTGAAGCGGGCCAACTACCTGTCGCCGTTCGACTGGAAGATCCTGTACAACCTGGGCCTAGTGCACCTGACCATGCAGCAGTACGCCTCGGCCTTCCACTTCGTCTCGGCGGCCGTTAACCTGCGCCCGGACCGGGGCCAGATCTACCTGCTGCTGGCCGGTAGGGCCCGCTGCGGCCGACTCTGACATTACCCGGCGGTCGAGGGCTCTGGATCGGTGCTGCCGTCCTCCGCTTCCACTGTCTTGACTTCGACATCACCCAATGTCTGTTCGGTCTTTGGTATTTGGGCTTCACTTATGCTGATTTTGCGCCAGTCGTTAGTTTGACATGTTTGGAGAGTTGCTTAACACCCATGAGTGGTCCCGAAAAGATCGGCATTTTTGAAACGTACGGAATGGAATTTAATGCAAACTGTTTAACGACCAGCCTCCACCAGGGCGTGGGCGAGGCATAATGTATGCATGACACTCTGATGGTCGGTCAAACCTCTTTGATTGTACGCGGGTGGGCATCGGTTGAACGGCTGGGTGGGCGGTGACGCATTCGGGACTGACGGATGGAAACCCTATACCTGACCCGTACCCGACCAGCTGGACCAGCTGTTGTGTGAGGTCACGGGGTGGGGACCCCGTTCGAAAATGTCTGCTCGGTGAAATGCGAAAGATCGTCGCTCCGCGTCGTATTCTTGGCGCTGGGTGCGTCGGGTCGTTTTATGGTGTAGAAAGCTCGGTGATGTATACTAGTACTTTTTGCTTCCAGAAAATTAATCACGGTTTAGGGTCACTTCAGGTCAAGTCTTGGAGTGAAGTACACTGCCCGTGAGATGGTACATAATGAACCAAAATGGTTGATGTAGGTCACTGGTGACAAAAAGTCCACTGCCATTTCCAGATTAAAGTTCACGACTAAGTGTACGAAATAACCCACAGTTATTTGGACAGGCATTTCACGTGCGCCAATACCAGCGTTAGAGGGGAAGATCTGCGGCCCTTTGAAATATTTAAATGGCATCTGAAACTGAAGGGTTAACCTCACCAACCGTGCATCGCTGGCATATGAAATGTTACGTAGATACGACAAAAATATGACTTGACCTCGTTTGACTCGACTGGAAGGCGATAGCTTTAGAAATATGCTTGACGTTCTAGAAGAGCTGCGATGCCCAGCCTTTTCTTGGTTTTGATGCAGCGCGTGGAGTGAAAATCTATGAGAAATGTTTGTTCTACCACCGCCGATGCTCGTAAAACCAGAGATCTCGTAAGGGCTAAGATTTGTTTTTACGTTAATGTGTTATATCCCTGCTTAAATAAATCGGGTGATCTGGTGCCTAATCGTGGACCGCAGCCTCACGCTGTACCGTGCCAGATGTTTCAGGTGTGTCTGCGGTGGACCGTGGATGTCGTTCTCGAGCCGGGCCGGAGCTGGCGGCGGCCTTCTGCGTCCGTCCGCACCGGGCCGCGCTCCGGCCGGCGGTGCTGACCCTCCCTCCCGCCGGCCGCCGCCAGTGTCGCTGTCGCACCTGGACGACCCGGAGAACGCGGCGCAGGCGTACGCGGCGGCGCTGTCGGCCGAGCCCACCGACCCGGCCGTGCCGCTCAACTTCGCCGTGTTCCTGCATCGGAGTGGCCAGCCGGCGCCCAGCCAGCAGCAGTTGGCCGAGTTCGAGCGGCGCGCGGCGGCCGGCCGCGCCGCCGGCCGCCCGCCGGACGGTGAGGTGAGCGACTCAGGAGGGTGCGGTGAGGCCGGCACGGGCTAGGTGGTTGGGGAGCTGTGAGTCAGGTGTGGTATGATCACCGGGCAGAGCTTGTGATGCGGGGTTGCCACGCGATGGGAGTTATCTTCGTCTGTGCTGCACATTGGACAGACGCGCTGGATTGGGGTGAGGGAGAGCTGAAATGGCGTGGGATTTGTGGGTCGAACTGAGATGGTAGCTCGTGGTCGCACGACTTCTCTTGTCGCCGAGGCCCAGTGCTGCGCGCTGCTGGTGGGGACGGGGCGGACGTTTGTGCCGAGCGGGCGCGCCGGCTCCGAGCAGCCGCTGGCCGCGACGGCCGCCTGCTGCGGGTGGTGCCGTGACGGCCGGCGCCGCGGCGTCTTGTGCCGGCAGCTGGTGGAGACGGCCGCCCGGCTGAGTGGCCTGCTCGGCGGCGCCTCCACCTCCGGCCTGCCTCCGATCGCGGCCGCTCGCGGCGCCGCCGGCCGGTCGCGGCCAGACCTCGCCGACGACGAGGTGTGAGGCCGGCTGGCTCGACACGCGGCGCGGTCGGTCCTGCGGCGACGCCATCGGCCGCATCTCGTCTGTCTGAGGAGCGGCCGGCGCCCGTCACCGGCGGAGATCAACCGGCGGGGGTGGCGGCCGGCGCCACTCCGACTGCCGAGGCCGTCGGCCCGGTCCTGTCTGTCGGAGGAGCGGCCGGCGCCCGTCACCGGCGGGGATCAGCCGGCGGGAGCGGCGGTCGGCGTCGCTCTGACTATCGAGGCCGTCGGCCCGGTCCTGTCTGTCGAAGGAGCGGCCGGCGCCCGACTCCGGCGGCGACCAGCCGGCGAGACCGGCGACCGGCGCCGCTCTGACTGTCGAGGCGGCCGGCCCGGTCCTGTCTGTCGGAGGAGCGGCCGGTGCCCTACTCCGGCGGCGATCAGCCGGCAGGAGCGGCGGCCGGCGCCGCTCTGACTGTCGAGGCCGCTCACCATCGGACACGGCCGGCAGCTGGGCCGGCTCCCCCGCCCGACCCTGCTCGGCCCACTCGTCCTGTGCTCGTGGCCAGTGGCCTGCAGCCGGGATATCTGCTCGCTCGGGGATGTATGCGTCGCTATGTGCGTTGGGTATTATGTCGTATCTATTTTTAGGATAGTAATGCCGCGTTTGGCTGAGGGGCAATATCTGTCACGCACTAGGGATGCGATGCACTGCACCAAGTTTTCAAGAAAGCCAACTGATCGCGTTTTAGGATACAGGATGTCTTCAGAGCTGCTTTTAAAAAATATCATTTGAACCGTGCTCACCCAACATCACTCCGTACTGCTGTGTCCGATATCTCACGCGTTTTTGCAAGATAAAACGCCTTCTACCACTGCACAGTAGAGGTGAGCCGTTGAGAAGATTTGGGCTGGCGAAAAACAGGCTCAACGAGCCCTTCGGAACCTCGTACTCAGCACGCACAGCCCGCCCACCGTCGCCGGTTTCCGCATCAGTATGTTTGTTGTCAGCACACCCAAATATTTGGATGAGTACGCGTCCAGGGCGAGCTATGATTTTGGTTAAATGATTAACTGAGCGGTATTGCGTTCTCCAAATTCATTGGTGACTAATGCACTTGTAATCTCCACAGTTCTCCAAGCTACAGATGTTCATCTTTCCTGCTCGACCAGCCGCCTCCTGCGGCTAGTCGAACAGGAAACCAACCCTGGTGTTGCATGCTCAGTAATTGCTTTTTGCTTTTTTAAAAATTGCTTGTTGCACATTCAACAACGTGGTGAATGCAAAACGATGTCCCAGAAAACATATCCTTTCGCCAGGTACAATCACTTTAAGCTAACAGGAAAACCGTGTGCGTACTCATTCAGACAAAATGACACCAACCAACCATTTTAAAGAACGTCGGTTACCTTAATGCCAAAAGATGACTCACGCTTTCTTGCCAAGCTTGTTCCTTCCATAAGTTCACATTCCTCGCGAGTCGCACCGCGCCGTCACACGCTTGCTGACGGCCGTTGGCAACGGCCGGCGTGGACTCTGACAAGCTGGTGTGACGCGGACCAGCCGACGTAACGCTGATCAGCTGGTGTGACGCTGACCGGCTGGTGTGGCGCTAACCAACCGACGTAACGCTGACCAGCTGGTGTGACGCTGATCAGCTGGTGTGACACTGACTAGCTGGTGTGACGTTGACCAGCTGGTGTGACGCGGACCAGCCGACGTAACGCTGATCAGCTGGTGTGACACTGACTAGCTCGTGTGACGCTGATCAGCTGGTGTGACGCTGACCGGCTGGTGTGACGCTGACCAGCTGGTGTGACGCTAACCAGCCGACGTAACGCTGATCAGCTGGTGGGACGCTGACTAGCTCGTGTGACGCTGACCAGCTGGTGTGACGCTAACCAACCGACGTAACGCTGACCAGCTGGTGTGACGCTGACCAGCTGGTGTGACGCTGATCAGCTGGTGTGACGCTGACCAGCTGGTGTGATGCGGACCAGCCGACGTAACGCTGATCAGCTGGTGTGACACTGACTAGCTCGTGTGACGCTGATCAGCTGGTGTGACGCTGACCGGCTGGTGTGACGCTGACCAGCTGGTGTGACGCTAACCAACCGACGTAACGCTGATCAGCTGGTGTGACGCTGACCGGCTGGTGTGACGCTGACCAGCTGGTGTGACGCTAACCAACCGACGTAACGCTGACCAGCTGGTGTGACGCTGATCAGCTGATGTGACACTGACTAGCTGGTGTGACGCTGACCAGCTGGTGTGACGCTGATCAGCTGGTGTGACGCTGACCAGCGGCCGTGGGAGGCAAGCGGAACTGAACGCGCGCGGTGGGGACACCTTCGTCACGTGGCGGGGCGCGCGTGGTGTTTGTAGCGAGTTGAATGTGGTGGTGTCGACTATGGGAGGCACCCAGCCCTGCAGAGGTGGCAGGCTCGTCCACTGGATAACTGCAGGGACGTGTCCGACCGATCACATGGGCTATGGCGAACCCGAAATGCCTTCACGATCAGCGCATCATCTGTGTGGCGCGCAGAAGGGTGGCACATGTACTAAGCTGTAACAGGTTGGAGTGTGCTGATGTGCAGCATAAGCTCACCAGCGCCTGGAACCCGCGCTGCGCCAGGCGTCCGACGGTCCGGTAGCTGTGACGGTGGCTGACCGTCGTCATCGGCAAGGCTGTGACGTCACGATCGCTATGACGCCACTCGCCTGTGACTGGCTGTTGACCACCATTCCGGCGCCGGCGCACACAGGGCACCGTGTCGCCAGGCAGGGGGAGGCTATGCCGAATCCTGACCTGGCGTGGGGACGGTCGTCGTGCGGTGATGCCGCTGTCGGACGGCCTGGCGCTCGCGTCCGCGGCCGTTCAGGGGGCAGGCCAGTGCTGGGCGGCGGACGATGCCTCGCCGTCGGCTCAGTGGCACATCGCCAGCCCCGTCTTGCGTAAAGCGTCGCATGCTGCTGCAATATATGTTGACTGCGTTGTGGTTGTATCGGTGTGAAGAGACGCCGAGGCTCTGCTGGATCAGGATCAAGCGTCCGACAAGACTCGTGCAGCCAGGATCAGGTATTAAATGGTAGTCATCCCTACCCCGCGCTGGCCGTGCAGCCATTTTCGGTACGACCTGAACGCTACGAGCGCCAGCTATGGCGTTGGCACTGCCAGCTGTTCTTCAGGGCCGCCAAATGCTCCCCTCGAGCCGTCACGCTTCCGAAACCAATGCAGGTGGTACTGCCTACCCTCTGCTGTACGGTGCGTCGCGCTGGGCCCGTCGCTTTCGTGCTGCTGTTTGTTATGTCTCTGTCGTTCATTGTCTTTTCAGTATTGAAGTGCACCCCGGTAGACAAGTGCTTGGCCCTTCGGAGCGCCGGCTACTTTGAGCGAGGTGCACGAGGGTTCCAATCTGTAACTGACGAGTTTCGAAAATTGCTCCGCTTATTGATATACCGGAGCTGTAAACTTGCTGTAACTGTTGCGTTAACTGCTCGGTAGCAAATTCGTTGCTGCTTGGTGTCCGCGAAAGTTATTGCCGTTTAACGACTCGGACAAGGTGCACGTAATTGATGCGCGTGAAGACATACGTGCTGTAAAAGCGCTATTAAGTCAAGACAGTGTTATTTGTATGTCCTGGGACAAAAGTTTGTAATTATCAGTGAAGTTAACGTCGTGCTTAAAGGCGTTTATATTCATAGCGAGCAGCTCCCGGGAATATGCATGTTTTATACCACAATCATTTATGTCGGCTAATTACCAGATCCATGAAAAAGTTGATGGCAGCGGTGAGCCACGGTTGGCGCGGTGTCAGCATGACCTCCGCCTCACGGGGCGCGCGTGTAGGGCTCCCGCTTCCGGGAACTACAGAGCACGGCTGGGACAGTACTGACATTCTCATTCTCTCTAACATTAGGACGACTAGCATTCCCTTGCGGTGGATAGCTAACATGCAACCTCCAGAGGCCGGCTGACAACTGGCCGCAGTAACCAGGGACAGTCCTACGGGCGCCGGCTGCGAGGCCCATTAGTGGTGCTTCATGGGAGCTGGACGCTGCTGCCGCTGCGCCCAGACGCTCATTTCGGTTCGGCGGTCAGGCATATCGCTACACGGAACTTCCGCTAGGCGGTGCTGCCGTGCCCTGGTGGACACTGATTTAGGAGCCGCAGCGGTGCTGCTGCGCCTTGGTGGACACTGATCTGGGATTCCCGGCGGTACTGCTGTGCTCTGTTGGATCTAGTCACCGTGGCGGTACTTGTCAGTCGGTACCTCGAGCCCGCAGGCCCAGCCACGTGCCGCCGCTCTCCCGCAGCGCACCGGCACCGGGGAGAAACCGCGGCTGCACCGACCCCGACCGCGCCACCAGCACGAACTCGCTGCGCACCAGCACCTCCACCAGCGCCAGCTTCAGCTCCAGCAGCGCCAGCCGACGAGCCGGGCAGGCGCGCGGCCCCAGGCCGAACGGCAGCCAGGCGGCCGACGGCCGGCTGCGCTCGGCGCCCGCCGCGAACCTCTCCGGCTCGAACTGGTCCGGCTCTGGGTACAGGTCGCCGTCGCGGTGGATGCTGAACACGGGGACGTAGACGGCGGCGTGCAGCGGCAGCGCCAGGCCGCCGCTCGGCAGCTGGTACGGTGCCGTGACGCAACGCGCCAGCTGCGGCGTGGCGGCCGGGAACAGGCGCAGCACCTCGCGCACCACCTGGTCCAAATACGGCATCGACTCCACTAGCTCCAGGACGTCGGAGGAGGAGGAGGAGGTGAGCCGTGCGTCCAGCTCGCGGCAGAGGCGCTCTTGAACGTGCGGGTGATGGGCCAGGCAGCGTGCGCTCCAGGCTAGCGCCGCCGCTGTGTTGCCGTAGCCGCCGAGGAAGAGCATGACGCACTGGGCGACCACCTCGTCCTCGGGCAGCGGGAGACCCTCGGGGCCACGCGCCTCCAGCAGCAGCTGCAGTGCGTCGTCGCGCTGATGCTCCGGCGCCGCCCGCCGGCGCGCCATCTCTTGGCGCGAGACGCGCGCGAAGAACGCGAACGGGTCGCGCTGGTCGGGCGCGGCGGCGGGCCGCCCGCAGGTTAAGCCGAGGCGTGCCGCCGCGGCTCGTAGCAACACGCCCCAGGGCGAGGGGCGCGCCACCAACGCACGCGCTCGCAGAGCCATCTCGCCGTGCGGGTTCTCGACGGCGCGCGCGTCAATTCCCAGCGCGACGGCGGCCACCGTGTCTAGAGCGTATCGCTGGAATAGCGCCTCCACCTCGAGGCCAGCAGGGCCGGCGGCGGCCGCCTCGCGGTGCAGCTGCGCTGCTAGCCGACGCGCCATCTGTTGGCAGAGGGGCGCCGCCTGCCGCAGCCGCGCCGCCGTGAACGCCGGCGCCAGCACGGCGCGCAGGTGGCGCCACTCGTCGCCGGCGCGCTCCATCATCATGCGCGCAGTGGGGCCGCGCCGCCGCGCCGGCGGCTGGCGGTCGGTGAAGTGTCTGAAGTCGGTGGCCATGACGCGCTGCACGAGCTGGGGCTCGACGACGGTGACGGCTGGGCCGCCGGCGGCGTCCAGGTGCGCCAGCACGCCGCCGGCCGCCTTCACCTGGCCGTACTCGCGCAGCAGCGCCGCCGGGTAGCTGCCGAACAGCGCGGCCGGGCCCCGCGCGCCCAGTGGAAACCGGTCCGGCCGGTGCCGCACGCCCAGCCGGCTCCAGTGGTTCGGCCGGCGGCGCATTAGCAGCAGGAGCAGCACCAGCAGCGGCAGAACGGTGCTGATCAGCACGGTCCAGCCGGCCGACCAGCATGGCACGGCGAGCAGCATCTCCGACGCTGCTGTCGCGCCGCTCAAACACTGTTGGATGTACTTCACTTGCGCTGGTCGGACGCGGCTGCCGTGGCTTCAGTCAAGCAACACCTGCTTTCGACCCGCCCGCCCCGTAGCAGCCGTCACTCTGTCCATACTGGTCACTCTCCTATGGGCAAGGTCCGCCGCCCAGTGTCGCCAGACATCCGTCGCTCAACCTGCATCCGGCGTCTTTCACTCCGCTTGTGCCCAACTTCTCCTACGTCTATACCAGACGTCCGCCACTCAGCACTCTCCAAGCGTCTGTCACTCAGCCTGCACTAGACGTCTGCCACGTGTAAAGGATGGCTTCCGTTATCCCATTTACTCCTGCACCAGACGTTTGTCAGTCTGCCTGCACCATGTGCGCGTCGCCCTCGTACGCCACGCTCCGCACTGCGACTGTATCCGGCTGCCTGCCGGCAGTGGTGTCTGGTGGCTCGTCACATGACGCGGCCACCCTGGGAGCCGCAGCAGCGCGGCGCGTGCACAGTGGTCTAGGCGGACCCTAAAACTGGTCATGATTTATAACTGTTGAAACACTACGAACAGCCCGTTTTTTGGCATTCACTTTCTAGTCAGAAAGACATCGCCTTCAAAATATAAATAATTCAGATAGTACATGCCCGAGCCATTTCCGCAAATAAATGTGGGTATCCCGACGCGGACTATGGTAGGCGCAATGCCAAAGTGCGACCGCCCGAAGGTACCTATGTGGCGCTCTTGCTATCTTACGAGCTAATCGCCCGTTCGGAGAAGTGCAAACTTACATGGTGGATGGTGTGGACATTTCTATCAGAAAACACTGATAAGGCTTTGCAGCTGGTGTGTAATGAAGTATGCTGTTTTTCCGCTTTAGAACCATGCCATTTCAAGAAACGTCAAAGGGTGATTCGGGTGAAATCCAGCTAAGGCCATCCAGGGTCACTCAATGTGAATCTTTCTTTAAAGGGCTTGGCCTGATATTAGCTCCCTTGTCACATTTCTTGATCTGCGGCCTGCGGCTCTAGTTTTATGGGGAGCAGTGGCAGAGGTAGGAGACACGTGCCCCCCCCCCCCCCCCCCCCCAGGTCCCGCCGCGTCCGTAAGGTCCCTTGGACCGACGATTAAGGCCCAATTTGAGAGCCGGAGGAGTTGGCCGTGGGTCACGGTAAGGGGCCTGGCCCGCAGGGCCGGGTCCTCAAATACCAGTCAGGGGGCCCTTTGAGTTGGTGAGGGGGGGGGGGGTGCGGCGAGGGGGCCGCTATTTCGGTCACCATTGAACAGTCAGGGGCCCGCAGTGCGTAACAGGCACTGTGCCCTGCGTCGGCAAGTGGTCGGAGTCGGCCAAAGGCCGTGCTCAAGGGGGCACAAATGTCGCTCGGGACCAAAGAACAAGGGCGCTATTGGAGGGCTGAAGGGCCCGACGGACTGGCTGTAGGTCACATTAAGGACCTTCGTCAGTAAAGCCGTGATCTTAAACACCAGTCGGATGTGACCCTATTTCGGCAGTAGACTGTCAACATCTCGCAGTCGGCTCCGTCTCATTCCGGACCCTCGGGGCCCATTTCCCAGGCAGGGACGAGGCCGGCACCGGCAGTTTGCATTGATGGGGCCGCTGTAACTATGAGTACCACTGCCTCGTTATAGACATCTGACCTATCAATAAGGTAACATCCTTGCCGGGCATGCCATTCTTGCCAAGGACTTCGATACATGAGCACATATCTAATCTGGCAGTGGCTGGCTCCAATGACCATCTTACATTCACGGGGATGGGCTTCAACACGTTCTATTCGAGAGGCTCGGTACATAACGCACGTTGGAGAGAGTACGGGGCTTGCAATCCCCCCCCGCCTCCCCCCCCCCCCCAGCACCCTATGGTCTCAGAGGCCGTCAGATGTAGTGACACGAAACCGTCGGACCTAGTGACGCGAAACCGTCAAGCCTAGCGACGCGAAACCGCCAGACCTAGTGACGTGTAGATTGCATGGTATCAACTTGTGATACGAAATTTTCCGGGACTATATCGTGCAACGTCTAGTTTCCTTGAAGTTTTGAGCCTGAGGTATGTTTCAGTGCATGAAATATGCATTTCCGCATCCAAATGGCGGGTTTTAGTGTTCGATCATTATTTTTATTGAATTCCAATTTCGAAGCGTGATTTTTCAGGATCAAAACTCCCCTTTTCGGGATTCCAGGATTCGGAAGACCTAAATCTTTTCGAGCCCCGCAAAGCGGAACCCTTACCTTTATTTTGCACATTCATATTTCACCACTTCCTGAACAGCTCTCCTTACCGTGTGGCTTTGGCGCCATTTGGTTTTACTGAACTCCTGGGGGATATTTCAAACAACACCCACATGTTTTCTGTAACTCCCATGTAGTCAGCGATGTAAAAGATTTACAGCTGATTTTTAAAAAGGCTCATCACTTATCTATTTCAATTGGTGAAATGAGATAAGAATACGCATATACGCTCTCTCGATAAGAATACGCATATCAAACCTTGGAAAACTACCTCAGGATGTTGATATAAAGCCAGGTAACTGCTGTGCCCGAACAAACTTTAATAAGTCTATATTTTTACCATTTGTACGCCAGTCTACTTTACTATGTCCCGTTTTGTTCTTTGGGAGGGTTCCCAAAGATTGGGACTTTTCAGACCTGACACCCCTTTCTGCGCCTGTGGTGGGGCCTTTGCACCGATGACACTTGCCTGTTCTTAATAATGGGCCTTTCGTATCCTAGATGGCTCTTTTTAAGAACTTTATGGGCCTCAAACCCAACCTTTCCGCCTTTCAGACTCTTTCCAGCCCTCTTCGTTTTCCTTGGAAAAACAGTAAGTGAATTACCGTCATGCATCCGTGGGCTCTTCCTTGGCTATCTGAAATGATGGGGGCCATGGAAGACCATGTACAAAATGGGGGGGGGGGGGACAGTTCACCCACGCTGCCCTAATAATGTACCACCGGGTCGCGTCTCCAATACTTTAGCACTGGGGCTGACGCGTTCCTGAGGCCCCGGCTTAACATTGGGGCATGTCCCCATCGAGATACGTAGCTCTACCCATGCGTTTTCAGCTTTCAGTGTTGCGGTGGAATCGCATCCCTATCGAGCAGCCGCCTACTAAGGATGACAATCGAGTTTTTCCCTCAAGCTTTGGTGGTCGGCGGTCGCCGTCACCGATAGTTCGAGTTTCAACCAATAGGTGGCAGTGACTTCGTCAGCGAGCTCATCCGGTCTCGGGCAGAAAGGGCTGAGGAGCGTTCAATTATGCTGCGGTTGCCGACGCTGCTACGGGGGTGCTGACAAGCCTAGAAACGTGAGATACGCATAAATCGCGCCAGCAACACACAGCTGAGCCTGCCAGCGCCGTGCCCGCCACTAGTGAGGAGGTATGCCTAAAGTAATGCTAGGTGCTGCCATCGCTAATGCGCAAGGAACATGGCAAATAAATTCGGACCATTGCTGTGCAATTACTATGTAAATTAAATGGCCATTCGGGGTTCGGCCTCAGTCAGTGTGGTGGAAGCTGTCGGCTTCCAGCGGCCGTATATTATGGGCATTAATTTTGTCCCAGCCAAGCCGAGCCCTGTTCTGATCTAGATTTATCGTCATGGAGGAATGATAGATGAGAAAAACACTCATTGAGACGACCTCTTACCGTCTGAGGCCCTCAAACTCAGACATAAATGTCGTGTATTTTACCCAGGCGGCCAATGCGGACAAATTACGCTATTGCAGCAGGAAGTGACGACCATTTATGCCGTGCACAGGCGTCAATCAGTGCGCGCGAGACCACAGCTCAGGGGCTGCGCGGGCCCGGTCACATCCAAATTACTGGTCGCCTGTTCTGAATTGGCAACGCAGCCGGTGATCCACGCCGTGCATATTAGACAAGCTGACTGTGCCTTCACGTGGGATGTCATCATCAGTGGGCGTTATGTACCTGAATGTGTATAATCTTGGCTGGAAATGGCCACCGCTTGGCCCTGCACGGACATGTCATTTACTCGGCGCCATAATTATGAAATGGTTAATGATAGCTGTCTGATACTGCCCTAAGCAAACGTTCAGGCGGTCCGTGGCCAACGGCTGAGGCTCATGCAATGCGGGTAGCTATGCGATGAAGCGCTCCACCACGTCCGAGTCACTGAGGGAGGCGACGTTCTCTCATGATTCTGAGATAACACCAGCCAGGCCCGAGGATAACGCACGCGGATAAAATGATAATCCGACTCTCTGTGACATGGCTTGACTTGGCGGATGTCATTGCCTGTGTTTGGATGATACAGAGCCCAGGCTTGCCGTGGTCTTAATGGGACTGATAATATTTCGACACTGTGCCAGAGTAATGGGAGTGGCGCTCTGGAAACCATGTATCTGAGATAGGAGGGCGGGGGGAGGGGGAGGGGAGCAAATCAGGATTGGATCGGCCATGCTGGAAGATAGGGACAACTTGACCTGAAAATCACATTAGTAACAAAGAAAAAGTGGATGCATGCATTCTGTATACAAAATAGTTACAGGGCAGTAAATCACATTCTGTGAACATTTTAAGAGACATCCCCGCCCTCAGCCAGTGGCTGCACTCATGACCACACACAAATTGAGTTAACAGGTCATTCGCGCCAACTTCAGCACCAATTTAGGCAAGGTCTGTAATCTGGTTTGAAGTCTGCCGCGTAAGCCAGGGTCCAGTCAAGGTACAGCACGGCCCGCGTCGGCTTCGGCGAACAGCTTTTAGCCGCCGTCGTGACGGGGATTGCCGCCGTTGTCCGGGTCAGATCACTGGAACCTGTCCCAGGCGTGGGCTCATCTGTGACAACTACGGCGATCAGGCTCTGCTGCTCTGCCGAGATGATCCGGATTTGATCTCCGCTGCCCTGCTGAACTGATGAGACTGTGATCCCCTCTATCCCACTGAGTTGATCAGGCTGTAATCTCCTGCTGCCCTGCTGGGTTGATCAGGCTCTAACCCCCTGCTTCCCTGCCGA